AGCAGCTCCAGCAGGAGCAGCAGCGACAACAACAGGAGCAGCAGCTGCGTGAGCAACGGCGACAGCAACAAGAACAGCAGCTACGCGAACAACAGCAGAAGCGGGAGCAGCAGGACCGTGAGCAGCAACTGCTAGAGCAGCAGCGACAGCAGGAGCAACAGCTGCGGGAAGAGGAGCAGCAGCGAAGGAAGCAGGAACAGCACCGACAGAGGCAGAAGCAGCAGCTGCGGGAGCAGGAGCAGCAGCAGGAGCAGCAGCTGCGGGAGCAGGAGCAACAGCTGCGTGAACAGCTGCAGCAACAGCAACAGCAACAGCAGCAACAGCAACAGCAACAGCAACAGCAACAGCAACAGCAACATCACCTGCAGCAGAATGAGCAGCACTCCGAGCAACTAAAGCAGCCACATTCGGAAAATACGATGCCACAGCTGGCGATGGTGCATGCTAGATGGATAGCACCGCCTCAGCTGGTCGAGAATTGCAGCTTCAGCACCTTCCTGGACGATCCGAGCAATCTGCGCAAACTGTTTCTGCCGCGGCGCACTCTGCAGCTGCTGTCGGAGCTGCCGGACTTCCAGTGGCTGGTCAGGGGCTGCTTCGTGCGCGTTCGCTTGGAGCACGGCCATCGTGTGGCTCAGATCGAGAGCGTCGTCAAGTCCCAGCCGAGCAGCGAGCCCACATTGGTCTTGCGCACTGGCAGCAATCCGCGCATCTATCCGCTAACGCAGCTAGCCAACGCGTACTACGAGCGGAGCGAGCTGCTCGAATGGCGTTACATTTGGCAGAGCTGCCACTTCGAGCTGCCCAACAAGTGGCTCGTCGAACAGAAGCATCAGGCCCTGGTCAACGCCAATCTCCGCGTGCAGCAGAAGCTGCGCGATGTTAAGCCCACGCACAAGCAGGAGTGCTTTATCGAGAGCAAACTGCCCGCACTTGCAGCTGCCAGCACCGCCACTGCCACACCGCCGAGCACCACGCAGCACATCAAGTACCTGGTGGAGCCCATGGAGTGCTACAGACGCTATCTGCCCACGACGTCGACAGGTGAGTAGACCCAATCAGCCAATCAATCCCACTCACTGCTGACACAGTTACAGCTCCTGCCGACGCCACTGACACCCCGAGCAAGCCGTGCGAGACGACGATTCCAAATCCCCGAAAGAAGAAGATTTCCCTAGACGAATATCGTGAGCGCTGTATCAAGAAGAAGAAGACATAGACAAGAAACACAAACTGATATCAAAACTGTGCAAAACAGATATCAACATCAAATCAAAACAAAAAATCACCTTCAGGCTTAGCCTAAAATCTTATGATAATTCACGGTAGCTTTACAACTTTCCACTAGCTGCTAAAAAAATATATATATATATATTATTATTGATGATGTAAAACATATATCAAAATCAAATCAAAAATACAAAAACTATATATCTATGTATATATATCTATGTATATATATATCTATGTATATAAAAATTGTGATGTGGAATCACCTTCAGGCTTAGCTTAAAATCTTATGATAACGGTACTTTTACAACTTTCCACTAGCTGCCAAAAAATATATATATGTTTATATTATTATTGATGATGTAAAACAGATATCAAAATCAAATCAAAACAAAGACTATATATCTGTGTATATATAAAAAAAATTGTGATGTGGAATCAGCTTTAGGCTTAGCCTAAAGTCCTATGATAATTAACGGTAGCTTTACAACTTTCCACTAGCTGTTAAAAAAAATATTTATTATTATTATTTTTTTCAATTTTGCGATATTTTAATTCATGATTTTTCATGATTTTATTTATTTTTAAAATATTTTTAAGCTTTAAATAAATTTAATAATATTTGTTATAATTTCTAGAAATTATACAAGACTATGTAATTTGTAATTTTATTTTTTTTTATATATTTTTTTAGAATTTGACGATTTGTAAATTGTACCTAAAAAATTAATTAATTAATTAAGTTTCAAAAAAGTTGTATTTTTAAACATGTATTTAAATTATTTTTTTTTTCTAGACATTTAATAGAGTTTTTTTTTCAATTCAATTTTTTATTTGATAAAATTTATTCATTTTTTGTTTTTATATAAATTGATTTTAAACTAGAGAGTAAACAAGCTGTGATATACATATTTATTTACACACACAAAATGAATTTACTAATTAAATAAATAATAATAAAAAGATGTAAATTTTTAGTCTGTATTTATGAAAGATTTATATAGAATAATAAATTCATATATATGTATGTATGTACATGTCCGTAAATTAGATCTACAAATATGCAATTTCTGTTTTCTTTCCAGTGACATAAATTTTGTTGCATAGTTTAAGGCGCACGGAAATAATTATTTAATGTTAAAAGTTAAGAACTTTATTTAAGCCATACGAGGCATGTATTTTTATATGCATGCTTCTTAAGATTTCTTAAAAATACTTCTGTATAATTAGGCATAAAATTAATTTAAGCAGAAATACATCCCGAATTTATTATAAATCACATAATTCGTATTTCACTTAACCAAAAGTTTCTTCTTCAATAATCACATTATATATATATGTGAGAAATTATCAGATTTAGTTTCATAGAAATCGTCTTAAGTTTCAAGGCCTTAAGCAAATTAGTTAAATTCCAATCGATTTCGTATAAAGAATTCAAGCGAAAGTAAAATAACCCAGAGAAAAACTAAGAATATTCACAACCGAACAGATTCTTGTGGAATTGCCAAATCGAGGATTGCCTTCCACTGGATGGTGGCATACATGGGTGTGGCTTGGGGTTAGGGTTAGTTGAACGCCAGATCTATTGTTGGGATTCCTCTGTTTTCTGGAAAATATTTGCAGACCGCATTACAAATAATTATGCTTGAGCCAAAGCAAAATGCGAGCGAGGCGAACGAAAAGGGCAGCAAGAAATTCTCTTGCCACATGATATATATATAAACATATATATATTTATGCATATATATTTGGGTAAGTGTGTGTGTGTGTGTGTACGTGTTTGTGTTTGCTGGAATATTGTGCTGCTACAATGACCACATAGAGAGCCATGCTGCAAAAATATTTACAACATTCTCAAGCGCAACCGAAACGAAAACTTATGAAAAATTTTATGAAAATTTTACTGCACTTGTTCAGCTGCCACGCCCAGCAGCAGCTACCAGCAACGCCTCCACTTCTGCTGGTTAACGCCCCTCCCTGTGTCGGCAGTGGCCCCATTTTAATTGAAATAACTTGGCAAATTGTGTTGCAACTATCATAAAATTTGTTAGTCTAACAGAAACAAAAAATTACCCGAAAAGAAACGAAAAATGGAGTAAAATCAGCGCTGAAATAAAACTGGATGAGCCATGCAAAACCCACCACCAAAATCAATAAAGATGCAAGAAACTTCAAGTATTTTGGAGTCATTAAAGATTATTTAAGCAAATTATGTTAAATAAAAAAAGTATATCCAGAAAGTTAGATGACGTTACTTCTTTATTGAAAGCAAAATTAGATTGAACTATCTCAGATTTTTAACTTTTGATAGACATATGTTGCATAACGCAGATAATATGATATGGGGAGCAGTGAAGAAGATATAAATAAAATAGTAATTAAAAAATCAAAAGAAAGAAGAATGGAACATTGACTATGTTTCAGTCTATATGAGAGAAGTTCAAGGGTCAGAAGATCGAGAAAAAAAATAAGAAGTCGAAAGAGGAGAGAATGGAAGATTTAATTTAATCAAGTCTATACGAGATTAGTGCAGGGGCTAGAAGATCTAGAGGAAAGGAAATGTGAAGTCGAAAGAGAAGGGAATGGAAAATTTAATATAATTCACTCTGTATGAGATCAGTTCAAAGGGTAGAAAATCTAGATCTACCAATATAATTAATATTTTTACTGATACTGATTATAATATTAAGCTCAAATATCAGTGATAATTTCAATTTGTACTTTGTTAACTGTTTTAAATTTTAACTTTTTGTATTTAGCTTGGTCAGTTTTACAGGTCTTGTTGATTATTGTCAAGTCCTCAATTTCAATTTGTTCCATATAATACAAATAATCATATTAAATCAGAGAATGAAGCCAGAGCTTAATTCTTAGCTAGTCTTAATTGTATTCTCTAATAAATAAATAAACATTAATCAAATATCGTCATTATTATTATTATTATTATTATTATTATATATGAAAATATTTCAAGACCAATTTGTCTTTATCATCTGCAGATTTCAGCTTCCCTTTCAGCTACTCTGGCTAAGCTATAATCAGTTGGGAACTACATGGTGGATCATCATCTGTATTTACATGGAAATTTTAGTCTTCGCTTCTCCAGAGCTATTCAGTCTATGATTCGTCATTATCATCATCATCATCAACTGTTGCTATATTGATTAAAATATTTGAATGATTTTTTTAGTTTCAATTAAAATAATATCGCAAGCAGTTAATCATTAATTAATTTAATCATTTTCGAATTGTTTAATTTTATTTCTTTTTTTTTTTCTAGTATTTACTTTAATTTGATTACAAATGCAATTGCCGTGCAATTGTTGCTGTTCGTCGGCAGTCGCTCAAATATGCCAACAATGCGCGCCCCCGCGGCCCAGCAAATGCTTTGCAAATGTTGAATGTGTGTGATGAGAGTGTGCGTGTGTGTGTGTGTGTGTGTGTATTTGAGCGTTTTTATTTGAGCGTGCGTGTGTGTGTATCATTATGCAAATTAATTTTTGGTAGCAACAATAAAGAGAAAGATGACCACATGAATACACAGTACACACATACCAACACAGACACACACACACAAACACGCACACACACACTCTAGCCGCAGCGATAATAGTGTTTAGGGCTAACAGCAACAACAACAGCAACAGCAACAATGCAAAATTCACAGCCGCAAAAATGTCAACGAAAATGATGACCGAAAACGCAGTCAGCAACTATGCAACTATTGCAACAACAACAACAACAGCAACAACAACAACAACAGCAACGACAACATTTACAGACAGCACCTAGACCCCCTCCAGCCAGTGGCCCCCTCCACTCATGCCAAAAGCCCAACAGCCTCTGTTTCCCGTTTTTCAGTTGATTCCACATTTCGACAGAGGCGCAGCTGCCGATAACCGCATTTGATGGCATTGCAAGCAGAGCGAGAGAGAGAGAGAGGGAGTGGGGGAGAGTGAGAGGACGCGACTAAGTGAGAGGTAGGTACATGGAATGCAGCATATGGAACAGACGCAGTTGACAGCACCGCGATGCGATGCGATGGCTCCACGGTGGACAAAACTCGGGTGCGAGAGCGATGCAACTACTCTCCTCTCCCACTCTTCGTCTGGATCTCTCTCTCTCTCTCTCTCTCTGTCTTTCTCTGCCTGTCTCTCTCTTTTTCTCTCTCTCCCTTTCTTTTACTTATTTTATTTTACAAGTTTTGTTTTTCCGCTTGCATGTTCCTTGAATTCTTCTCGTTCTTTTTTAATGTTAATTTCAATTGTGAAGAAACTTTATTTGTTTCTTTTCTCCCGTTTTCTCTATGCCTCTTGTTCCCGATGTCGTCTCTCAGATCTCTCACGTTCATTTTATCTCTCTCTAGATCTCTTTTCGTGCCCACCCTCATTCTTGTTTCCTTCGCAATCTCCTCTTCGTCTATTTGCTTTCCTTCGGCTCTCTTCTCTTCCATTTTTCGCTCGCTCTTCTATCTCATCTTTCTCCATCTCCTTTTTCTGTTTCACTCTTTTATTTATTTCCTCTCTCTCTCCCTCTTTCTCTATGCCGTCTCTCTACTTTCTCACATCATTTTCATCTATCGCTTCCTATCTCTACTTCTCTATCACTTACACATATGAACTTTGACTCTCATACCATTTACCTCCTTTGCCTCTCGTTCTTGCTAATCGCTGTCTTCTTCTCTCATTTGCACCTCAGTCTATCACATATTTATCTTCTCTCATCTGAGTTTGTTTTCTCCTCTTCAACTCTCTCTCTCTCTCTCTCTCTCTCTCCATATGCATTTATATATATACCTATACCTCATTCTCCATTCCTTTCTTTCACTCTCTCTCTCTCTCTCTCTCTCTCTCTCTCTCTCTCTCTCTC